CAATTTTCTTACTCTCAATTTCTACAATACTTAATTGCTGCCATTTTATCATTTATCTAAATTGCAAAACGGAAAATACATTTTACTTTTACACAAAATTATTTAATTCTCATTATGAAAGTTGGCATAATCGTAATTAAATCTCGTGTTGGACCATTTCAGGCCGTTTAGATTAATTGCTTAGCCCTCTGTGAAGCACTCGGATGAATTTCACTTTGAGCGCGCGGTCTTCCACGCTTTTCGTCTGAGGAAAGGAAAGTTGGGCAGTGCGGGTGAAATAAAGAGAGAAAACGATGGTAAGGGAGGCAGCATTTTATCTTTTTAATAACAGCCGGCGAGGAAATGAACGTTTTGTCCCCGCCGCGTTCCTCAAATTACGCGCGCTACCCTCTTTCGATGGGATTATCAAAATAAATCTCATTATTTCTTATAGGTTTAGCTCGCTCGCTCACTCTCTCTCCAGCGAAAATAATCGCCGAGAGAAAGAAGAGGAGGTTCTGCAATTCCATTTTAATCGGGCCGTCTCCAGAATATCGGCGAGGAAATGAACTAGGTTCTCCGATAAAAATAAAAAGCACCGTTCAAGTTCCCCTGGAACGCTGCTGCAAATTGCCGGTGGGTATGTATAAATTCATGCAGCATTATCTTGGTTTTTGTAAAACAAGGTAGTAAAAATGTGCTGCGCCGCGCGCGCGAAATTGGCTTATTATCCAGCTTGTTGCAGCCGAGACGTTTGAATATTGAATTTCGGCCTGGCAAGAGAGATATTATGGGCAGATAAAATACTCTCTTTCTTTTTAACAAGCCGGCGCCGCACGAGTGTAAATTTTGCTGATCCCGGTTTATGGGGCAGTGAGCAAAAATGTTCGGCGGCTGAACTTCCTTTCGGTCGCTCTCACAGCTCAGCAAAAAAGTTGGGGGTTAATAAAAGTTTATGAAAAGTAATTTAGGATTTATTATTATTTGCTCCACCTGAAGGGATGCTTATTTAGACTTGAGAAAATATTCTTCTCGTAATTTTGATATAAAATGAAAATTTATCCATTCAACTCTCTTATTTAAATCAATATTTTATTAAAATAATGAATATTTATGAAGAAAACAAATTTTCCTGCTTCCTTTCCTCTTTTTTTTTAACACCAAAACTTTTAGGGCTTTTGTTTGATTGCAAATTTTCTCCCGCCCGATAAAAACTCGTCGGTCGAGATAAAAAGAAACGACCCTCTCCGCTCTCGCGTTATATATTTTGTTTACTTCCTAAAACAGGGCTGCAGCTAACGTTTTCCCGAAAGTTTTTCAGGAAGCGCCTCTGTTTCCTGGCAAGAAGAAGAGGCGTCGTCAGTAGCAGAAATCTCTCTCTTAGCCCCCGTGACATCCACACAACATCAAAGCGAGGAGTGTAATGCAGTGTTGCAGCATAATTTTATACCCCGCCGCAGAGTCAGGTGCTCTCGGATTGGAAAAGATTGTAACTAACGACGGACGAGGGTGAGCAAGAGCAAAGTGCCACTTTCTGCAGCGCTTCAAATGCTTTAGTAACCTGTAACTGTCGGGCTAAATTATAGGTGCGCGCGGAGAGAAAAGGAAAAGGGATCTGCCGAGCAGCCAACCATCTTCGAGCGCCCTCTGCGTTTTTTCTGCGCCAACAACTTCAGAGAAGAGAGAGAGAAAGAAAGAGAAGGAGAGGTCGATGACACTGCAGTTTTGCGCTCGCACACTCGATTGTTTTTGCTTCTCTTTGAGTGAAGAATCCACCCCGTTGCCGACTGCCAACCCAAAGTAATTACCCAGCTTCATAAAAATGAGGCTGTTGCCACAAGAACGTGGGGCATCATTAAAGATCTCAAAGAAAATGACACAATTTAAAAAGAGCTTACTTTTTATAAATAAATTTGAAGATTTTATTTTTTAAGCCCTAATTAACATTTAAATTAATCTCTAATTTCATGTGAAATAAAATTTTCCAGGGGAAAAATGCTTAAAACATGTCCCATTTATTGTTTAGCTTGATTTACATTCTAGTTTGGAGACAACGAGCAGCAAGTAAAGGATTTAATTAAAATAAAATTCATCCAAAATGAAGCAAACCCGTTTGTTAATTACTTTCGCGTCGGACAAATCTCATGCAAAAATATTCGCGCTGTTGTTATAGCAGTCGGACCTAGTTGGCGCACAAAAGGGTCCCAAATGAATTATTCATTTCCGCGTCGGTCGGCCGAATATGCGTGTTGACTTGGCAAGGCAGACGAGTGATTGATAAGCAGCCGCTTTTTATTCTCTCCGCTAACTGATGATCATCATAATGCTGCGCCTCAAGAAATGAAGTGCGAAGTAAAATGTGTATTTCCTGCTGACGTAGCCGAGATTAATGGCGTTAAAGCCACCCGCTTCCTTTTTTGTGAAAAGAAGTCTTCCCAACCAACGCCTAATGATATTTATTATTTTTGCCAACACTTTCTTCGGACTAGTTTTGCTTCGTCATTTTGCGAGGTGTCACGGTGCGGTTGGAGGAAGAACGCTGAGAATTGATTAACTCAGAAGATAAACAAGGTAAAGATGAATTTTTTTGAACTTGGGGCGGAAACTCAACAACTTGATTAAAAATCATTTTGAAATCATTTGAAAAAATTTCAGGTAGTAAGTTTTACGTTGTACCAAAGTTAAGAAATAATAATAATTAAATAATATTACAAATTTTCTTAATTATTTACGCTCTTTTATTTTTACTTTAATTAATAATATTACATATAATGTAATTATTTTATATTCAATATAATTTTAATAAATAAAACTCTGTTTAAATATTTTTAATTTTTTGATCTATTTTGATCTTATCTATAGCTAGACAAACATTTTTTTTTTAATCAAATTTTAAATAAACTTTATACTATCCAGCAATGATATTATTAGAAGGTATTAAATATTCCTTCTATTTGGGCAATGGATAATTTGGCATATATCATGAGAAAGTATTAATCATAATTATTTTTATTCTCGCGAGTTAAAATTTTAATTTCGTTTATCCACAATCCCTTTTCATTTTTATTATAAAATATGGAATAAAATTTTAATGCAAAATAAACTTGACTCATACAGATCCGCGCGCCCAGAAAATTTCAGGGCTCCCCTTTGTAATTTTAGACATTTCACGTTGAAGACTTTGCAGAACTCTTGGCGCACGCTAGTGGCGCAGGAAAGTCTCTCGTAATTACGGCAAATTACAATTAGCGCCAAGTGCTGGACGGACGGCTGGACCAGTCAAAAACCGCAGGAGCGGCAGCACTACTTTAATTTCAAAGTTGGATCACGCGCGTTTTAATTACTCTTTCCCTTTCAAGCAGCAGGTCCGTCGAGACAAAAATTCCGGCCAACTTATTCAATTACTCGGCCTCCAGCGACTAGTCCGTCCTAATTAAGTCACACTATGACTAATTAATCAGTTCTTGTGTGCAAGGATGAAGACGACGACACAGTAAAAGGAAGTAATTAAGTACGAGATGGAAAACAAAATACGCACGGTTCTTTCACGGCCAATTAATTTGCATATCGCTGGATAAAATATTTATATTTATCTTGGGGGGCTGATGCGCCCGAGGCCCATTAGATGCGCCTGATATAATATCGCAAATGCTGTCAGTTTGGTCATAAAAGTGGCGAGCTAATGGATTTCGCAGCGCCGAGCCGAGTTTGATGTGCGCGCATTCATCATTGCTCGGGCGCAACATCAAATTTTGATGGGCGCCGATGGGCGCGAAATTAAATTGCGCTCGTGACGCGAGCGCCTTTTTGTATTAAACTCGACAAAGCATTGATTTTGGAATAAATTGTATGCAAATGTCCTAAGTAAGTCTGTTTGTGTGCAACGCTCGGTGGCCGCGGATTAAATGCAAACACGGCGGGCGGCCGAGTTGTTGGCATTAATTTCGCCAACAGCGCCGACAGCAGCATCATGCACACTGTAGCGTGCGCATTTTAATTATTTAGAGGGGTCTTTTCTAATTAGATTTTATGCTGACACCGAGCTGCTGGCTGACGACCGCTGGCAAAACAAATAAATCTTGATTAGCGCCAGTTTTGGCTGCGGGACGATTTTACGCTAATTGCAATTTGACCGAGCCAGCTTTCATTGGAAAATGGGTCACTTGCTTTGAATTTAAATTAAAATTAGAGTGCTTTTCGAAAGTGCTTATTGACATTTCGAGAGAACATTTTAATGTGTTGACTTATATCTCTATTAAAAAAACATCCTCATGAAACAACTGTTTAATGTTAAAATTATTAACTCCATTTTTAAAGATCTTGATTATATATTATGTAATAAAATTTGCATTATTTATAATTCGAAAGTTTTTTTATTTTCTTGAGATTCTTGACGTAATTTTTTTTATATATGAAAAGTATAGGGCTAGTAATTGTGTCTAACATACAATTTTAAGAAGTGTTGCGGTATGATTATGTTTTTAATTTAAAAATTCATTTTTAGTATTTTTTTATCTTGATCTGGCAATTAAAGATTATAATTTTAAAGTAAAGATCAAGCAGATAAAAATATTATCAAAAAATAATCTTGGGAAACTTTATTTCATTTTCCCCTTGATTTTTTTTTAATTACATCTCAGCTTAATATCCTCAATGGTTTTCAAGAGACTTAATTGTTTTCAGCTTATTTCCAGAAACAATGTTTCGATTGCGGGCTTCACTAAGAAAGCAGTAAATTTCAATTCAACCAAAATGAATTCATTCCACCTTGAGTGTGGAATTGGAAAAAAAGTAATAAATCAGATGAAAAATTTCAACTGCGCTTAATCTCGATAGAAATAAATTCAAGCAAAATCAGTAAAAATCACTAATTCCAACAATGTTTCATGAAGTCCAGCTTTCGTTATACAATTTATAAAATTATGTATTTAATTTGCAAAAAAATATCCCTCAAGATGGTCTTTGGGGAAAACCTACTTTCTTTTCTAAATTTAAACAAAAATTGTAAATATTTCACTGACCTGGAACAACTCTGGGTCCATTGGCCGCCAAGCTGCCGCTGCCGTAAGTCACGTGTCCGGGGTCAGCGTTGGCCGACACGACCGAGATCTCCTCGAGCAGCAGGTCGTCCGAGTCGGGGGTGGCGCGCAGCAGGAGGCCGTGACTGGACGAGGGGTTCTGCGCGGACGAGGAGGAGGAGGAGGCGGTGTGGTGCTGGAAGTAGGTGGGCGGGTAGTAGCAGGCCGAGCCGCTGATGCCGCCCTTGGACGACTGGCCCTTGCTGCCCGGCAGGTGGAAGGCCATCCTGCGGGCCATGTTGCCGCTGCTGAAGAGGGCGCTGGACACGGACGACGGCCGACACGTGCACACGTCGCGGCGCTGGCGGAAAATCCTGCCGCTCGATGGGCTACCCCCCTCGCCCCGGGCGCCGAATCCGAGAAACCCCACCGCGTCTCAGTCCGAGGCCCGCCCGATCGCACCAGGTCGCTGCCAAAAGTTCAAGTTCTGTGCCGAGGTCGCAGCCAGACGATTTCCGAATTTTAACTATTTAAAAAAAAAAAATGTTCGATTCGTTTTGAATTCAAAATGCTTTGTCAGAGGTCGATTCTGACGGACGCTACATGGTGGTGCTGAGCTAACGGCCGCTCCAGTGGCCTCCGGGGCCCCACTTTTGGCACCCGCCAACCAACGAGAGTCCCTCCGAAGCACGTGGTCTGCGACGTGGCCCGCATTTTCGCTGGTGTCGCATCATAAAAGGCGGTTCCGTCTCTGTCAGATTTTCTCTCGATCTGCTCTCGGCCTGGAAAAAAAAACAAAATAAAATGCATTGGTGAAACATACATGGGAGGGTCAATCGCCGGACGGGAGAAAATAAAAAACAGGGGAAATGTATGGGTCACGCGAGAGATGCGTTTTCTTTTCCGCAACAACAATTCTCTCTCTCTCTCGCCGCCGGCCTTTCCACTCTATCTTTTTTTCTCTCTCACGTACATGCGCACATTTGAGCTAAATAATAAATAAATCCCGACCTAATTCTCCCCCGGTTTGATTAACGGTGCGGGGGAAATGAGCAGCAGGTATTTCAGGATTGCTCAGGTATAATATAAAGTTGCGCAAGCCGCCTCGGCGAAATTTACTTGGCTGCGGCTTTGTAACAAATGGTAGGTGTTAGGCAGGAATGTGCGCGCCGCCCCGAGGAGAATTACACTTTTTGTCTCTCGCACTTGTAATCCTAATCTCCCTGAAGAATGGCCACGGCAAATGAATATAATTTAAATTCCACTTCTGCAAACATTAAATTTAACTCCTCCCTGCAAAGTGAATTGCAAAAGGCTTTCCTAGCTCCGAGCAAACACTCCCAAGGGCCATTCATTTTTCCCATAAAGAGGTTAGTTTTTTATATTAACATTGTGAAACTTTCCTGTAATTTGTGAAAGAAATTATAATTGTATATCTTGTTGATTTTTGATATCTACTGTAATAAAAAACGGGTAGAAAGTTTTTTTGATTTTTGAATTTATATTTGATTGATTTCAGCAATCATTTCCTAGAACCTATTGAAATTAAACATTTTTAACTTATTTCTTTATTAAATTTTGTTTTTCTTGATACATCGAGAATAATATTTTAAAGGCAATCATAATGTCTAAAATATCAGTCTAGAATAATCCGCGACATGAAATGATCTCATTTTCCTTCCTTAACCACCGACTAAAGCCCCCACAAATCAAATCCACCATCAACGTTTTCCTGGAAATCTGAAAGCAGCTTATAAGATACTCCATAACACTTCTTGTACTCCCACTAGTTCTGTATTTGTGTGTGTGTTGCGAGTTAACTCGGCAGCTCTGACTGAGGTGACGGAAGCAGTCTCATTAGGGAGCATTTTTGTTCAAATTAGAGCGCGCACGAGTTATGAGGCGCGCACGCTAGACTTAATTTATTTTAACAACGCGCACAAACTGTAGCTTTGCCTCGAACGAGCGTTTTCGCACGAGTGCTGAAATTTTAATGAGAGAGAATCTGTTTTCTTGTTTGCTTTTTCTTCTCGATTAAACAAAGTGAGAATTTTAACGTTTTGAGCACTGCTTTTCATAACATGCCAAGTTTGTTTTAACATTATTTAATTGTATATTAAAGTTGAGTTCACTTCATTTTAGAGATCGCAGGATGCAAAATTTAAGTAAGTCGCAGTAAAATATTAAGAAAAAGGTTTTTTAATAATTAATTTGTTTAAACTAAGCATTAAATTTTTAGTTTAATAGCCACATTATTATTTATTCTATAAAAATTCGTTTCCACAAGCTATCTTTTAAAGCGTTTTATTTTTCAATATATTTATAAGATTTACTTCTTAGAAAATTATATTTATTTATTCCAGCTTTCCAGATCAGATCTTGCTCTGCTAAATAAATTGTTTGTGAAAATCAGCAACTAAAAGTCTCCTCACATTACTTATCCTTCTTATGACTTAATTCCGAATTAAACTGCGTGCAAATAATTACTAAAGGCATCAAGTAAAGACGCTAAGAATGTTTGCAGAGAAAACAAGAATTAAGCTTAAAATCCGAGTCAGAAGTTTCGTATTATATTCACCACCATAAACCACATTGCAATTTATTGCACAGTCGTTGCAGCGACAAATCCGCGGGATTTGTATTTAATTATTTCCTTTCTTAATGAGGAAACAAAAAGAAAAAAACTTGCAGCTTGGTAATCTTTAACAGCACAAGTGGTGCAGAAAAACGCGCTCTTCGCAATAATAACAACATGGAGTGCAGCGAGTGCCAGGACGAGAAGTCAGTCCTCTTTCGCGTTCTAAATAGAACGCAAAAGCCACATTAGAGCGGAACCTGGATAAATAAATGCAGAGCTGTAAGGAGGAATTACGTGCGGAGGCTTTGCGTAAGTACAACGTCGAGGAGATCCGAGGCCGAAATGTACGCTTGCTGTACTACACCTCAAAACTCCCCATAGGCTGACAAAATCTCCAAACACTGACATGAATATTTAATAAACTACTCTCATTCTGGCGCGGTGGCTCTCTCTGAAAAATCTCGAACCGGGGATGACAAGAGCGAGCCCGGCACGAGAGAGGCAAAAAGCCGAGCGAGGGGATAAATTTTTAACGACGTGCGCCTCTTTGGGACCAAAGGGAACCGGCGTGTGGCCTGTTAGCTCCCAGTGCATGATTCTCAATTTTAGATTTCACAGACGTTGAATATTAAAATATATCTGTGACGTCATCCAAGTGTCTGCACAGTGACGCAAATCCAATAGAAACCAAACCACTCGCTGATGCCGATTCGATCCTTTCAACAAGTTAATTGCATTAATCGAGGCTACTAATTAAAATTCCAACCCAGCACACGATTTCTAAATCTAATTTGCTACCGGCGCACCGATAAAATTGCATTATACCGCCAGTTTTATTAACCGGCCGTAATGAACACTCTGCTTTGTTTGATTAAATTCAAAATCACCGTCGCGAAACTAATAATTCTGCGATGCTAATCAGCGGCAAAAATCGTCAAGACAAGAAGTCCCTGGAGGCGGTGGTGAATTATATTATTAATACGCACACCTGCCAACTCGCAGGAGGATATTTTCGGTGCTGGAAAATTCGTGGGCGTCATTAGCTTTCACGTCCAACTTAAATGGCGCTTGCTCGTCTTGTTAACGCCGACGAATTTCAACGAGAGAGAACTCTGCGTACTCAAATGGCCTCAGCTGACAGGCGTGTGCGCTCCCTCTGTGTCAGCAAATAATGCCAGCCGAAGAATCGCCTATAGCAGAATTATTGCTCGTCGACGGGCGGGTGGAAGAGCACGCAATTCTAACGCCACTTGACTCGATTCCTTCCAAAAATGAATGTGGAAGTTTAAAAAGTAAATCATACTTTTAAAATTTATTTTAAATATTTAAAATGTTATGAATGTGCATTAATTTTATATAAACATATTAAGTATAGTATTATAATTAATATTTTATTTTCAAATTTACTTTTGTTATTTTTTATATTTAAAGGCATTTAAACATATTATTAAATAACTTCAGTCAATATTTAAAATATGTTTGCTTAAAATAAAATACATCAGTTATTTATAATTTTGTCCGCTTGATATTCTACATATTATGTAATCCTGATGTAAAGGTCATTCAATCTTCTAGAATGTGGTGTTTACAATAGATAACTAATTAAAAGGTCAAAAATTAATAGTAAATTTATAATTGTATATCTTAAAAATAATATGTTTATATTAAACTTATGGCAAGATTCGGAAGATTTCTGGTTGGATTGTGATTGTAATGAAACTCCAGACAGTATCTCTTAGGTCGGAAAGGCACAATAATTCGCACAGGGCTGAATCATCGCGATAAACACGCACGCAACACACCAAAACCTGGCCATAAATCACTGGTCCAGCTAATGAACCATATTTCAACCCGCCGATAATAAATCCTCCTTATGCTGCCTGCATATGCGATTAGTCGTCGCCACAAATTCGCCGCTTATCCGGCCCATAACTCGGCCATTTGCCTCGCTCGTTTTGGCAAATTTTTCACGAGAGCCAGCAGTGCAGAGATAACATTGTCTGTCGTGCCGACTGACCAGACGCCGGATTTTGGGTCGCGGGGTTAAAAAAAAATCCGACTGAGCAGGTGCAGTTCGGTGCCAGTTGTGGCCATAAAAGTTGGCGACCGGAGTGATGAGACACACATTGCAGGATATTAGTATTTAACAGCATTGCCCAGACTGCTCGCTACGTGCCAGGCTGGGGGAAACCAAGACAAATAATATTGAACAGCCTCTTTCAAAAAGTGTAAAAAATTTAAAATTTTTAACATTTATTTGTCGTCTATTAACAAACAAAAAATGATCGAAGATAATATTGGATTAAATTTTAGTTTCTTATCCTAAAATTTCTTGTATTTTTTGTTAGCTCAGAAGATTTTCATTTTTTATTTGAGGGGTCACGTCACGTTGCATAATCTTTTTACAATGACAAATCAAAAGGAACAATATTTAAAAGTGTTCGAACTTTATTTGGATCTTATTCCACAATTGATTTTTTACCAAATTAGAGCAAAATCGAATGTTGGTTAAGCATTTTAAAATAAAATTTTTGTTGGTATTTCATTTTGATCACCTTTCTGAGCTGTACGACAATTATTCAAAATCAAGGTGTTCCCTGAACGTGTGACAACATCATTCTCGAGAAATGTTACAAATGTAGGACATAAGTGTTCGCTCTACATAGATCGAGCGCGAGTGTGCGAGCACTAAGACAAGAAAAGTGGTGTATCCGGGGAAAAGATAATGCCGTCGTGTATTGCATCCCTCTTGGCGAGGTGATAAAAGACTCGGAAAATAAAGCACGTCCTACTTACTGCGCTTCATCATTATCAAAGCAAAGAGACGTGTGACGTCGTAAATCAGAGACGGAACGGTTATTCGATTCCATGCAGCGCTATTTGAAATTCCAATATTTCCAGTTTCGAATTTCCTCCGCGGAATATTGCACAGACGACGTATGCAACCTGCTCGACAGACGTGCTGCGCAGGTTGCTAGAAAATTCCAATTACTTGCCGCATCGCAGAAGGGTCTTCTGCAAAGGAAAATGCCTCTTTTGATCTCGACTAGGAAATCATCACGAGATTAGAAATGGAATCCTACTTGCCGAGTGGAAATAATTATAATATAAAAGTCCATCTATGGCTGCCAGCAACAGCAGCCTTACTTTAAAACCCATTTGTGCGGGAGAGATTAGAGGCTAGGCGAGAATTACGGCTGACAAATAGTGTGTGACGCGAGTGCTTATTCTGGATGGCGATAATAACAATAGTTCGTCGAAAGGTGGGTGTAGAGAGGGTTCGTTTATTCGCGGCAGGTTGGTGGTGTTGCGTCGATTGATCGGCCTTTTACGGCAGTCGTTAGCAGATAAGATCAAAGTGCTGAGCATTTGCAGCTGGAAATATAAATCTAGTCAGCACTGGTTAAACGGTTGTGCCAGGAATACGCTGATAAAGCTGCGTTAAGGCCAAGCGTGAAAAATGATGCGCTCTCCGGCAGTTTGCGAAAGCACCAAAGCCGGTTGTTTGTGATTTTTTTGTTATTCAAATTCGGGCTAAAAAGCAACACCCTCTTGGTGTGTATTTATTTTCCAGCAATCCGGCCAAGAAAGCCTTTCTTTCCTTCTTCCACTCTCGCATACATTGTGATGCAGATATGAGAAGGAGCTGTTTGCGAGTGGCAAAACGAGCGTCAATATTGCCTGCATTGTCGCGCGACGAGAAAAGAATTCTTGTGATATTGGCAGCTGATTTCATAGAATGCCACTGGCTTAGCGTTTTCCGTGTGATTGACAGGCAGGTTTGAGCGGAAACATTTCCTCCATTCAAGCTCTAACAGACTGGGTAAATTTGAATTTCCGCGACTCCACTAACCTCTGCTATGAACAGATGCTTTCAAGTATGCACTTTACTTTTTGCCACCTAATGGATCTTATAATAGAAATCTCCACTAGAATTTGGACAAATAGATTATATTTTTGAGAATTTTGGAAAAATTCTGTATTTAAAATAAAAATGAGCGACTTTTTCATGAATTAGGAGGTTCCATAACTTCAATGTTAGCATAATATTTTATAAATTTGAATTTTTGAAGTTTTTCTTTTTGGCAGTTTAATAGCAATACAGTTAATAAGATTATAACATGTTATATATTTACCCTTTTTTTGGCCACTTTTAATGAACAAATTATTTGAATTTATTTTTTATTGCCAGTTAATATGAATAAATTCAGAAAAATTACATAAATTTTTCCAACCCTAACTAAATATGAACGAGCAGAACAACTGATGTTTACAAATTTAAAATTTCAAACTTTCTGTTTCAACCATTTGCATTCAGTTCTTCATTTTAATTAAAAATTTTCTGATTGCAGCATTCCGTGCTCAGAGCTGAAATTGAATATTTCAAATCACTTTCATTTAGGGATAATTTTGATTCGAAACAAGTCATTCAGTCTTGAAAGGTTTTCGTGCCGTGATTTTCGTGGCGGCGGTAAAAAGCGCAGGCAGTGCGCGAGGAAGAACATGTGCGAGCCTGAGGGTCCATCAACACTGGATAAGACGTTTTCAATTTCCTGCCTGCGAGTGAGAGCATGGCATCAGTGCAGCTCACGCGAATCACTCAGCGACGGCTCCATCCGTCGAGTCGGAGGCCGAAATTTCACGCAATGCCGGCAAAAATGTTAAAGGGCATGGAGCACTCCAGAATAACACATTCATGAATTCTAAATAATTATACACACGAGACGATTGTACATTCCCGGTCTCATTTCCATTATTTGATTGATTGCATGCAAGTCTCTCTGGGAAAATATGTAATAATAGGAAACTACTTTCATATTTTTTTTTTCATTTGGGCAGAATTATTAAAATGTGGTCCCAATTTCATTGATCACATCACGGCTTGTTGTTGCTTTCTATTGATGCTTGTCTCTCTCAAAAGCGGCTCGTTCTTTTTCATCTCGGGCGTGTCTGTGTCTGACGCACAAATATATATATTTTTTTTTTGTATCACTTTGGGCCAGGTGCGCTTTAATGTCTAGCGGCAGGTGGCGTGTCGTAAAATGATGAAAAGTAAATGCTCCGATAAAAAAGAATAATGCGAAACGACGCCTCTTTTTGCACCACGCGATAATTTTGGTTCACATGGCGAAAAAAAAATTGTCTCCATTTTTCTTTTTCGGTTGGGCCGAAATTCCTGAGCGTGAAGGACTGGTTTTAAGCACCACTAATCTAGTTACGGACCGGTAATCATTTTGCAAATTCATCCCTGCCCAAAATCTGCACCTGTGCTCAGCTCGTCTCTTTTGTAAATCACTTTTCCGTCTCAGGGGACGTGAAAGGCAGCAACGTCCTGAAATATTCAAAATCCCTGAGGTTCTCTTACGACAGCTGAGCGCTTTGTTCGCATGACTGACATTGCAAGGTGGTGCAGGCCAAAAATCACACAAAATTAAAAAAAAAAATTAAAAACGACCAGAATCTTTTGAAATTAAAAAAGGTGTGGAAAATTGGCCTAGAGTTCACGCCTGCAAAAAAGTTGAGCCATTTTCCAACCCTACCAGCAAGTGGTGGTTGCCTGCTCGCTTTTAAAGTGGCACCCTCGTCGTCCCAGAGCCTGCACGCGACAAAATAAAAGCTCGAGATCGCTCGGCTCGATTGGCCGCAACAGGGTGGCGAACGGGAGGTTGGTACTGACCCGAGGCGGCGGCCGTTCCAGGGTCAAGTCCTCGCGAAGATCCTCTCCAACCACAATCCAAAGGGAAAAACACTGAATAAGTATGCAATCTGCAGAGCAACACGAGTCGCTTCCGAGCGAGCACAAAACACACAGAGAGCTGCGAGCGTTTGTTCGTTTGATGGCAGTAGTGTCGGAGGCGGTGGTGGTGGCGGCGGCGGCGGCGCAGCATCACGAAGGGGGATGCTGGCTGGCTGGATGGCTAGCAGGCGGGCTGCTTTCTCCTACCCTACACCATGCAGGCGCCACGGCGCTACACACCAACGTTTATTCTGTGGCACACACACCGAAAAAGAGAGAAACCAGATCCAAAGAACCGCAACCCTCTAATCATGGGTCCGAACCATACAAAAATATTCAAATAAATTTAAAATATTAGCAAATGTATATATGCAAAAATAGGGTCTATTAATTAATGGTTTGGTGAAAAATTTAATATGATTGAACAGGCTCGATCTTCACACCGATCTCTCAGAACTAGGTTGGTATGGCGCTGCAGACGTTTTATGTTCGCTTACTGTAGCACTTTTAAGTTCGCACAAGCTGCCTTGGTAGATAGGAAACCCGGTATTTCATGTCCCACAATATTTCAATTGTCTTGATAATAATTTGTTTCAATTCGTTTATTCTCTCACAACAAGTCAAATATTATTTTGGGGGAAAAATTACATTGAAGAGAGAATTGGCAGCCAGCCCTAGTAAACCCTTGTGTTAAGTTGACAATAAATTCCATGAATTTTAGCGGGATTTGAATCGGCGGGACCGTGAGGTGTATGAGACATGAATATGTTATTTTTCTAGTGCTGCTCCGACAGTGCATGTTGTACACAAACTCGTTTAATAAGAGAATTTTATTAATTACACAATTGTATATCCGCGTTTTTCTCGCCTTTCGCCAGATTAATCACTATTAATTTATTTATTTTATGTATGAATTATCCGAAATATGAAATATCCAATTCAACTCTACTTCCGCGGTTCTGTTGTTTTCAGAATAGATTTAAAATAATTTATTTATTTAATTGACGGCCTGAAGAAGAGCTTTGTGCTGTGCATTACCTTTCTGGAAGAAATTAATCTCCATAGATTTTTGAAAGAAAAAAATTATTATCACGGCAATAATATGTATGGAAATGCAGCTAATTTTTTTGCTATCCGAAATTTTTTCTGGGTTCGGAAAAGTTTTATTAAAAAATATGCAAATATATTTGATAATTTTTGCGGGCTTGCGAGCTTCATAGGCTGGACAAGAACGTGGTGAAGGTCGTCTCAAGGCGCAACATTAAGCAGAATAAAATAATAATAAACTGATGTGTATAGAAAAAAATCTAGTAAAAAAATTCTCCTAATGAATTCAATATAGAGTGGGTCAGACAAATATTGATAGAAATGGCTTTTTTGCGGCTCGTTTTGCCTTTTCGGGCCAGTCAGCCAGACGGACCCGGGCTAGGGGTGGCTGGAAGGAGGGAGCACATTGATTTTCACTCGCACACCCCGTCATAGCGCGTCGAGCCGGTTGTTTTCCGTTCTGTGTGCTTTGCTCTCTCGCCCGTCCGTCCGTTCATTCGTTCGCACTCGCACCGTGTCCTGCTTGATTTGAGGGTGATTTCGATAAGACACGGGCCGATGCAACTGCCCTTTCCGGGAAGGGCAGTTGCTGCCTCCCTCCCGAACGCCGTGCCAAGCATCCCTCGAGCTTTTTGAACTCGGCAGCCGGCGCGCTTACAGGTGGTCTTTATCGATTATTGCCGCGCGCGTTCAAGAGGCCGATTACGTGTGTTTCGCCAACGATGCTTTTGGTCTGATTAGAGTCTATTTTTAGCCCGTCGACGGTTGAGAATTTATTTTGAGCAAAAGGAGCGACTTAATTAAAGAAAGATTTTTAATATTCTCTCAGGAATGAAAAAAGGGGTTGCAAAAGAGCAATAGAGGGCTATAAAAAGCAGCGTGCTGGCGCGTCAGGTCTTTAGATCAAAGGGGTTGGTTTAATGTCATCATCAATTATTTTCATAATTCCTGATTTGTAACCGTGTTTTAATTAAAGTGAAAAAAGTACCCGTCTCCCCACAATTAAAAATGATGAAATAAATTGTGCTGACTTTTAAAAAGGGGAAAATAATTTGAAGGGAAAACTCATCAATAAAGAATTTTTTAAAAAATTTTCTTAAATAATTTTAATGATTTGCAAAAGAAACCAAACATTTTTGGGCATTTTATGCATTTAGCTCAGCAGAGATAATTAATTAATTTGTTATGTAATATTTTTTTTCAAAAAGTTTTTTATATACCTGTTGACTGTCAGGTTTTGTTTCATGTTTCTTCCCGCAGGGATTTGCTTTTTTTAGATAAATTGATAAAAAAAATTTAAAAACTAAAATTTAAAATTAGTGGGTTGGGTAATTAATATGCACCAGGCAGCGGCCAGCGTTATGAAATATATAAAAACGTTTCTGTTTTATAACCCAATTCAAATATATTCGATTCCGAATTCCGAGGTCCATCTCTCTCTGCTTTTCCTAAATCGCACCCAATTCCTGTGAATCGTTTCCTCTCTCAGTGGCAAAAGAAATTCCTTTATATGTTTGCGGCAACTCCGGTAATAGAGCGAGAGGGTTGCGCGCGGGGTGGCTCAGCATCCTCTCGCCGCTTTTGAGAGGGAAAGAGAGCCGGGGGATGCTGGGGCCTGCCGCGAAAGAGAGGCCAAGCACCTCTCGTGTCCTCACTTAAGTTGTAAAATATTTTCGTCTCCTCGGGGCGAGAGGACGAAATGTTGTAGATTATTTTTCCTGCTCCTCTTTTCCTTGTACGTCGACGAAAGAGTGACGCAATCGTGCGCCTTTAGGCGCACACCGAGGACCTCATGCTTTTCCATCCCCGTCGCCCTCTTCCCGCATCTTTCTCATTCTCGCCTGAAAACGAACCCCTTGCTTATCTCGACGCGAGCGAGGCAAAAAGCTTAGCAACTTTTCTCTGCCGTTTGTTTGTTTTATATACTGGCGGTTTTTTGTTTCTGATATACAAAAAATACATAGAGGGGCAGCGCTGGATCGTAGGGCGGTCTGCAGATTTCACACACCAAGTACGAACTTTTTGCACGAAAGTTAACTGACAGTCTTTTCCGCTCCCAGCGGGCCCTTGCAAATCGCAGGATAGGCTTTTTGTATTGCTCCTGCGGGGTGCATAACTTTATAAACCGCAAAATGGCAATTAAGACCAGCTGCTTTTGGGCGGTGATCATTTTTAGGTAATCTGCAAATTGCAAATTACACTGCGCTCACATCATTATCAAATTAGGATTTTCCTCCCATTGAAAATGAACTAGCATTGGTTCTTATTATATAAATTAATAAAACATCGGCAATTTATCCAGAAAATTATTTATTTTGGAGCAATTTTGCTTTTATTACCAATCATTTATTGTACGTACTTCATGTCATGCAACATCACATGTACGAAGCAAAATACTCTAAAATTTTATTTTGTAGAGAAAATATAGCTTTGTATTTATTTATACTACTCTCTCGTCTCATTGATCAATTGAAGTCTTTTGCCTAATTTAAAGCTGCACTTGTCCTTTATAAACATGTGAGGAAGTATAATAATGATTTGCACTAAGCCATAAATTAGTGTATAATGAAGGGCTTATTTTTACAACGAACTTTATAGCTAACCATCTTTTTTGGTTCACTTAAACTAAAAAACGATTTTTATCATTAAATGACAAGAAAATTTTACAATAAAAGCCACGCAATCTGCACTGGCCAAAAATAAACAAAATTAATAGGCCATTGTGGAACACTTGCTGTTATCCAAATAACATGATAGAGGAGAAAGGTGGAGAGATTCCAAGGCAAAGTTGCAAAAATGCATCAGCTGCATGAAAAAACATCGACAGCTGTCATTAAAAGCACTTTCAAAAGGCGGTTGTTGCTTTTTGGCACTTGAAAAATTGGCTTCCAAAATATGTAACTACTTGAAAGAGAATAAACTTTGCTAATCTTTTGGATCAAAGCAAATCAACAGAAAAAGAGCAATCAGAAATAGAAGAGAAAATAATAATTGAGAAATCCATTCAATATGAAAGGGAGTCTCGAGTAATTGGCTATATTTGAGAGAGGCAGGTCTCATTTTTCCAGCGCACAGCACCTTTGTACGGTTGACCTGTGAAATACAGTGGTGGCTTTTTCTAAAACCTGGATAGTCCACCTGGATTCTTGTTCTTTCTCACAGGCTGGACTGACATTGGTGGTTCTAGGGCTTCCGCAATTGGACGAGGAGACCCCAATTCCTGTAAATTTGTTAAATAATTTTCAAACTTGATAAAAATATAAATAATCCAACACTCACCGCCAAACTTGTGACGCTTGCCAAACTGGTGCAACTGGCCAGACGCATGTGCTCAAGTTGAGAGCACGGTGTTGCGTTTCCCAGGCTGCTTCCAAATGGACTCATGACTGTCGAGACCGCCCTCTTCAGCTTGCTGGGAGTCCGATTGAAACTAAATGCTCGACCAACTTTCTTCCTGGTCTTAGAGGCAAATTTGAAAGCTTTCGAAAGAGTCCCCATACTACCAGCATCAGCAAACTCAATGTCCAGTTGTGCAGGGTCAAGCATAGCCAAAAAGGAATCCTGTGAAAAAAAGTATATTAATTTTTTTTTCAATATTATTTGCAATTTATCTTACAGCATCAGTCCTACAGACCGTGTTAGCCAATTGGCGACACAGGGTTTTCAAGAAATTCGTCTTGTTGACTTCTTCGTTGGTCCAGGCAAACAGATATTCACGTTCTTTGAATTCCTGATTGCTGCGACATCTCAGAGCAAATACATTTCGAGTCCCTGAGAATTAAATTCTTAGAAATGTACACAACTTCTCATAAATGATGCTACCTTCTGTTTCCTTATAGTCTATAACTCTCTTGATGGTGGACAGGGGCAGCTGCATGATGTGTTTGTATGGCTTAAAGTGAGCAAATTTGCCGGAATGCAGGCTGGTCACGCTTGGGCTGCGCAGAGAGCTGAAGGTTTTTGTCTTTCGTTTGCAAATCTGCAGTTTAAAAACAATATTTAATAATTTGTAACTGCAAGTTTTGTGTATACAAACCTCTAACATGTCTGAGAATAGGATGAGAGTCAGATGTTCTCCTCGGCCACTGAGTTCGTTGCTGATTTCATTAACATCACATCGTTGGACAAATGTGCGGTGAGATGCAACAATGTCAGCCTGCACAAAACAATATAAAAATATGATTAAATTTAAGAAATATTTATTTACCGGGCAATTTTCGATCTCATTGAAGATGTCAAATAAGGCAACTTGTCCCTCGGTCTTTCTTTTGTCTTCGTTGATCAAATTCATCACTCTTTTCACTTCAGCCAAAGCGCACAGAAGAAGCTCATGGTCAGGATTGCTCTTTGGAGTTTGCTTAGCCAAGTCTGTGATGCAAAAATTAATAAAAATTTATTATTGATAAGAGAGTTTGCTTGCCATTCAGCAAAAGGCTCATGCTAGGAAGTCTCTGCACTGGACGGATAAGGAGTTCGTTGAGACTTTGGCGTCCACACTCTGGTCTTGAATATCTGATCTTGAGGAAAGCGTGGAATCTAGGGTTGCTCTCATCACAAGAGACAAGCATTTTCTTTGTGTCTTCAAAGAAATTGATGAATGGTGGATATGCCTTCAAAATGGCATCTTTCTGCAATTATCCTAACTTAAAACAGTTTTTGTGCTACAAATTGATTTCCTTACACATTTCAAGACGATAGCACCAACTCTGGTAGTGTCGTCTCTCCAATTGAGTGCAGCCTCCTGCAAATCGGCTAACATTTCCTTATGAACTTCATAAATGGGAGGTAGATTGCCAAAAATGATCTTCAGTTCGGTTGCGTTCAGCAAACCAGCAGATTCACCCTCCTTGCTTTCCAGGGGTTCTTTGAAGAGCTGCAAAGAATTTGCTTAAGCACAAATAAAATAAAAAATGCAAGTGCCTTACATTTACAATAGTGTGCAATATTTCCACGTAATTGGTTTCAGTCTGTACAAGCTCAAGGAAGACCATTTGTCTCGGGCTAAGGGGAGCTGCAAGGGGTGCAGGGGAAGCAACTAAATTGGCTGTGTCTGGAACTGAAGCACCTGGCTCGGGACTGGCTGTGCTGTCTAAAATGGATGCGCTCAGGCTCAATCGAGCTAAAAGGATTTATCTTATAAAAGTGATCTAAAGCCTTGCTATACAATATCTTACTTGTAGGGGAATAAGTAGCGTCCAGGAGTTCACTAGTAATGCTGGCACCACTTTGTCTAAGGAGTGTACAGGTAAGTAAAAAACAAATATTGGGGATTTCCAAGTGCTCACCTTGCGTGGAATCCAAGACGCTTTCTTTTCCTTCTTGCAGAACTAGTGTAAGAGTGAGAAAGGGGTGTGGAGGAAAGAGGTGTGTGGTCGCCGTTGCTCCCAATCTGCGATATGATTCATTTTATAACAAGCAGTTTAAAAAAGATAAATTTCTCACATGTTGTGCTTGCTCCAAAATATATTCAGCTTCGTCGACACAACTTTCCTTTTGGACCGACAACCAAAACCATTCGGCTTTTACAACGTTGCAATGACCTTGGAGCTCATTTATGTCGGGAACTGTGCCTTCTTCAACAACCTATTCAAAGATTAAAATGTGATGAATATCATGAACATCTTTCATATTACTACGCTTACTAATTCATTAAATTTAAAAAAAAAATCGTGCTAATTCAATTAAAAAATGTAGTTATTTATGAACATTAAATCTTACCACATGTGTACAGGACGAGTCATCAATGTCAACCAAAGTGCCACAGTTTTCTATCAGGACAGCCTCCATGTGTTTTTTCTCCTCGTCAGGAAAGCCAAAGAAGCAAATCCTGGCGCCGGTAAAGGGTTTCAGTTTGTACTGCTGCACAACCAAGGGGTCAGTGGCGTTGAGCGCTTTCGGGTCATTGCGTTGCTCGTAAATGTCATGAAGCCAGTCAACACTAACAATGGGTACGCGGAATGTGTTCGCATACTGGTACTTTTCGCCGGAACAACGAGCTGCTATGAGGTGTGTGGTCAGTTTGCTCATGTCTCTCTGCAAGCTCCCTCCCATGCGGTAAACTTCTTTTGCCATCCTGTCCTGAAATTTGATGACGAATTAGCATTTGAAGCCAGTTTTTCAATAAATAAATTATTTAAGGGATTACACATAAAGACAATACTAAATTATAATGATTGAAAAGAGAAAAATCAATTTTGTCTGTAATAGAAGTGCTTATGAAACAATTTTATATTCTTGTAATTCCACTTCTGTCAATTAAATATTAACTTTTACTTAAAGAGAACCAGTTAGATCTTATCAAGAATTCAATTTCTCATAATATTGACTGACTTTCACATTCATTGTGATTTTTGAACCCTTTATCATATGAAGCAAACTTACCATTTCTATTCTATCTCTGAACCAACTGAAGCAAACCGTAGCTCCTCTCATGTGAAGACAGTAGGTTGGATATTTTGTGTATCTGGTGGGCAGCGGTTCATCGTTCTGTGCGTACTGAATCAGAGCAGTTGGTCCCAAAATTCTGCAACATTGAAATTAAAATCAAACTTTTTCCTACAAAATGCAAGCAAAAATCATACCGGCACTTCCTGTTTCTCAGACTGTTAAAAACAGGACCCTCAAAATCATCCACTATGTAGACAGTCTCCAAATCAAGCAGCTCCGACCCATCTCGAGAAAATTTGACCAAGTCACAGTATTTCTACAAGCATAATTATCATCATCTCATTGCAATCGAGCAAACAAACTGAATGGGAAAACTGATACCATAACATCGTAATTAATCGCACAAATAAACACACATAACAAATCAATGGCACGCAAGTTTGAACAAGCAACGAGAGTTCAGGTTTCAGGGCCAGGCAAATACGCTTATGATATCAGTTACAATGACTCCGAGCAAAATGACAGTGATGATCTAACCTTGGCAGCTTCATGCACGGGATCGTCGCGCACCTCATTGTCCCGAATTATGCATATTTTGGCCGTTTTAATGTCTGTAACAAAATAAATAAGACTATTAATTCAAAGATATAATTGGCAAATCTATTTCCGGTCAGTGGTGGTGAATTTTATTGCACTCCGCGAAGATGAGAATAGACCCAACCCAATTGATGAACGTTAATATTTACATCATGAGCACAGCCTCACCTGGGTTATTTGATGGTGGACAGTCCGGTGCGTAACCGTTGACGGGCTTTAGGGGCCGATTTTCACCCTGAGCGTCCTCCATCGCTGCAAATTCCGACGCCGCTGGATAACACGGACCTTAGGCGGGTCACGTTGAACGCATTGCGCTGCTATCACGCCGAAATATTCAGAAAATGACACAAATTAATCGCAAGGAAAAGTAACAAAACTGTTTTCTTATCGTTGTTTCGTTCGTCGTTTTCCCCCACCACCCGCGCTCCGTCGTGATCACTTGTGCGAGTCTCTCCGCTGATTGGCTGCAATTGATCACGTGGGTTCAAAATCCGCGAATCGCTTAAGAGAAACTTTTTTCGCACGAAGCGCGACCAATCAAATGAATGCATGACGTCATAATTTTTGGCGGCATATTTAAATTTATCAAAATTTGCGCAGCAGCGGTGATGAAAAAAAATTCAATTTTCTGCTACCTTTTGTTCTAAAATTCTTAATCATGAATTTTCAACAAGATTTGGCTGATTTTAAGAAGTAATATCGCGAATTGAAGCTAATTTGATATAATTAACAATTCACACAGCTGCAACCAATCAGAATCGTCGGGTAATTTTGCTGGCCAATAGGATTCAAAGAAAAAGAATAACAACATACAGCATCCATGCATACAAGATCGGCGACCACGGGTTACTAAATTTTGCGAAAAGAAGAGCACGAATTCACAGAAATTAGAAAGATATTTCCTATTTTTTTGCTTGTAACTGCATTTTATTATTTAAAGAACGTATCGAAGATGCTGTCACTTTTAAGAAAAGGAGGAGATCTGTGCAAAAGGTATGAAAAAACTTTTCCAAATTTTAACCTTGAGAGCTCATGCAAACTTCTGAAATTTTGTAGATCTAATTACTTTGTCCGTCTGCAATGGCACCACTGCGGGCAAGTGCAAAAAATCAGCAAGGTGCTAATCGCAAACCGAGGTGAAATCGCTTGTCGAGTCATGAGAACTGCAAAGAAAATGGGAATACAATCTGTTGCAGTCTACAGCGACGTCGATGCAAATTCCATGCACGTGGATATGGTAATAGGACTGTCTTTAAATAATTAATAAAATTTTCTAACTAAATTTTGATAGGCTGATGAAGCTGTTAGAATTGGTACCGCAGCCTCTACAGACAGTTATTTGAGGCAAGATAGAATTATCGAGGCTGCAAAACGCTGTGGCGCTCAAGCAATTCACCCTGGCTACGGCTTCTTATCAGAAAATGCAGAGTTTGCTGATCTGTGTCACGATTCAGGGATAATTTTTGTTGGGCCGCCTGCTTCTGCTATCAGAGACATGGGCATTAAAAGGTTTGATTCAAAAACCAAAATGCTTAAACTTTTAAGTAATTATTTATTTGTAAATCCTGTTTGCAGCACCTCAAAAAGTATAATGTCAGCAGCCGGTGTTCCTGTCATTGTGGGCTACCACGGAGATGACCAATCAGACGCTAATTTGTTGTCGGAAGCTGAAAAAATTGGCTTTCCTGTGATGATCAAGGCCGTCCGAGGAGGTGGAGGAAAAGTAAAATAATAAATTTTTAGCAAATTTACCAGAGATTTCAAAACTGAAAAATTTAGGGAATGAGAATTGCTCAAACCAAAGAAGATTTCCTGTCTCAACTGGAATCGGCCAGACGTGAAGCCCAAAAAGCCTTTGGTGACCAAGTCATGCTGGTGGAAAAATTTGTATCTGAGCCACGACATGTTGAAGTTCAAGTATTCGGTGATATGCATGGCAACTACGTTTATTTGTTCGAAAGAGACTGCAGTGTCCAAAGACGACACCAGAAGGTTATTGAAGAAGCGCCAGCCGTAAGAAAAAAATCAAATAATATAATCTTGCTTTTATACTAATTTTAAAATTATTTATAGCCTGGTCTCTCTTGGGAAGAGAGGAAATCAATTGGTGAGGCTGCTGTGAAAGCTGCAAGGGCAGTAAATTATGTTGGGGCTGGAACAGTCGAATTCGTCCTGGGTGCCAAAGACCACAAATTCTATTTCATGGAAATGAATACCAGGCTGCAAGTGGAACATCCTGTTTCTGAAATGATCACCGGAACTGATTTGGTCCAATGGCAGCTGCAGGTGAATTCTAATAAAATTTATAAAAATATTTTTGTATAATTTTTATCAACTTTAACAGGTGGCAGCTGGAGAGCCACTTCCTGTAACTCAAGAGCAGTTGGAACTGAAAGGTCACGCACTGGAGGCGCGCATTTATGCTGAAGAGCCAGGAGCGGATTTTATGCCAGGTGCAGGCCCATTGATTCGCATGACCACCCCTCCTGCCAGATCAGACGTCAGGGTTGAAACAGGTGTCAGGCAGGGCGACGAAGTTTCTGTCCATTACGACCCCATGATTGCAAAGCTCGTTGTATGGGCTGAAAATCGCCAGGCTGCCATTATCAAACTCAAGGAACAACTCTCTCAATTCAACGTAAATTAATTTATAATTTTTTTAATGCTCAATTAATTTTTTATTAATACAGGTTGTAGGATTAAACACCAACATTGACTTTCTGATGTCACTTTGCTCACACAAAGAGTTCCTGGCTGGAAATGTCCACACCAATTTTATTCCCGAGCACCAAGCCACACTTTTTCCTGAAAGGAGTCTCTCGCAATCTCTCATTGCTCAGGTAGAATATTAAAATAATTTACTTGCAATAAATGATAATTGTTCAATAATTTTCTTCTAAGGCTACAGTAGCTGCTCTCTTGACAGAACGGGCCCAGCTTGGGTATCTGAAGAACGATCCCAACGACCCATTCTCTGCCACCGACTCATTCAGACTGAACCACAACCCAACTTGGGATAGGCAGCTCAGCTACCTGGACAAAACTCTCAATGTCAAGTGGTCGGAGCGAAGCAATGGAGTATTTACTGTGACAAATGAAGGCCAAGTCACAGAAATTTCTGCTGTCCTCATCAAAGCTCCAACTGGCGAAACCTTTTTGAAATCCTACATTGACGGGCAAATGACTAAGTGCAGAGTTGAAAGAGTTGATGGAGAAATTTACATATTTACAAAAGTATTTTTATTTTTACTGTTCATAAATTTGTATACAATTTTTTCCTTATAACAGGAGTGCAGCTATTGCTTCAAAGAACCAGAGCCGAGTTTCGCCAATGCTGGAAGTGCAGGTCTGGGCGCCGGAGGTGGTGCATTGGCACCCATGCCAGGTGTAATTGAAAAGGTTTTCGTGAAAGAGGGCGACGTTGTTAACGCCGGTGATCCTCTTGTTGTCATGATTGCAATGAAAATGGAGGTATTGTTTCTTGCCATCTGTTGTAGTCGATGCCAATTAAACTTTTGTTCAATTCACAGCATGTGATCCGAGCGCCCAAAGCTGGCACAATTGAGAAAGTCTTCTTCGCTGCTGGGGACAATGTCAAGAAGAATGCTCCTGTTGTAAAAATGGCCGAGATTGAATAGGTATTCCTGTTTTTAATGAATCAAGAGCTCAAAATTAGTTGATATTCAAGATCAGGGAATTGCTTTTGAAGCCTCTGAAACGCTTTTAGTGCCAATCAGCTTATTACCTTGCCATATATATTCTTGGTCACTATTTTTGTAAGACAAGGAGATCTATTTTTATACTAATCTGTCGTTTGATAGTATCAAATTAATATACAAATTTTAAAAGTTATTGTTGGAAATTGAATGATGTTATGTATGGAATAAAATATTAGAAATTTATCTCTTATTGAAATATAACTTTGGGTAATTTTTTAATCAATTCATGACACAGAAGTATTTATTTTTCGAACCATTTGATTCAGTTTTATTGATTTAAAGATACACCTTGCATATCTCAATTGACAAACAAAATACGTAGAAAATAATAATAACTGTCTATAAGCTGCAAAAATATATAAAAGTAATAAAGGTTATTAAATTCATTAAAATTACTTAATCGTGTGTGAAGCTCCAATCTTTTCAGCTACAGATACTCAGTCTAGACTACTATAATTTTTTCCGGCTAATTAATTGTGATGGTTTACGGCAAAAGTTAATGTAAGTTTAAATTTCCTTGTCTACTATTATTCTTCATTTAAGTACTATTGCATGAATGGGTAAAATGGGCACGGGGAAACGTTTACATTCGTTGCGTGTGTGGGTGGGCACGTTTCTAGCACAAAAATCGTTAATTAACTCTGTCCTTTGTACTCAAAGGTCGTGAAGGAAGCAAAATTTTATAAGTGCACTTGATCGAGATGACATTTTAATTAGTGATGCATCCAGTAGTTTGGCACTTGCGGTTTTAATAACACATATAAATGTAGTAAAAAATATTAAATTGGCCCCGTTCTTATCTACGGCAGCAAAATAGTAAAATATTTATTAATACTCTTGATGAATCTTGCACAATCGTCAAGTTACGAATTATTGAATTAGAATTTCAAAAATCCTAATTTAAAGAGAGAGTATTTGATCCACGAATCCGCCATACGTTATTGGAAAAAGATTTGCTCTCTGGTTCTAACGTTCTGTGGCGGACAACAGCAGCAGTTTCAAACAGTAATCTCAGCTTGTTTATTACATTTTGTGTTTTGAGATCGCAAAATCGTAAGATTACCTTTTTTTAATAAATCCACAGCCACACCTTTCATCAATTTATACACGCGTATCAATTTGAAAAATTACGCAAAATATGTTTAAAATTTGAGGTGTTACGCATATTATCTTTTTTAATCCTAAATGGGAACATTAAAATTTGCAAATTGCCAAATTAGTTTATCTCAAATGTTGCTCTTTTTTAAAGAAAATTTAAAACTTCAGGAGAGCCTCATAATCACAGCTGCTGCTTATTTGTTGAACTTTCCTCTCATAGTGAAAAAACAAAAAAATATTGATTTAGGAACAACCTCAATCATTTTAACAGACGATAAAATCCAAAGACGAAAAAACTCTGTAACATTCTTCTTTATACAAAAAAAAAAATTACTTTTACTATACATATAAGGCGTTTAAACACACTTTTACAATATTGGGCTATTTACATCTCTGCTCCATTTCATGGACAAGCGATGAAATGCGTTTGTTCTGCCGCGATTTCGTTGGCTAAAATATATATACGGGATCTCATTATTGTGTTACTCATACATATGGCAAAAAACAGCTGCGAATCTGATGAACGCGCAGCATTATTTTTTTTTTACAATTAACATTAAACTACCTATTCAGCACGTCATTTACAATAAATTACAATAAAAACATAATTTTCAAATACGAAAAACTACACTTGATATTGGCTAAGCCAATTCTTTTTACAAAGTCGTCCAATATAAAGGATTCCTTCGTTGTTTCTTTTTTCGGTGGTGCGTCTAATTAGGGTCGCTTTTACGCATTGGGTATAGTCGTTGGGTCCTTAAAAAATCTTACAGTCCTCGTTACGCACACACAAAAAATGTTCTCAGGCAAGAATTCAAACGAAACACGTCTGCATGATATTTGAATCGACACCATTTGATCATTGCACTTGTCGTGTTCGAAAAAAATGATTAGAAAAATCAATCCGTGTCTCATAGGTCGGTGCACACGCTATCTCTTGGAGGATTTGTGATTGGGGCTATTGCTGAGCGTCTTCTGTGCGTGCGTCTGGTAATGCTTGGCCAGATGCGCCTTTTGCCGGAAACTCTTGCCGCAAATGGTGCACGCGAAGGGCTTCTCGCCCGTGTGGGTGCGGATGTGCACGTTGACGGAGTACTTGTCCTTGAAGCCCTTGCTGCAGATGGTGCAGTAGTGCAGAGATCGTTCCTTCCGGACGCCGCCGTTGGTCATCGCGTTGGCGGCGCTGTTGCTCTTTTCCGCCGATGCCTTGCTGCGCTTCGAGTACTTCTTGCTCTTGGTGGACGGCGCCGCCTGCACCGGCTGACTCGGCGGCTGTCCGTCGATTTTGAACATCGAGTCGTCGGTGGTGCGCACCGTGTTGTTGTTGCAGTACTGCTGCACCGACTCGGCCACCTCGTCCTCGATCCTGCGCAGCTTTTCGTAGTCGTAGGTCACGTCGAGCTGAGACAACAACAGTTCTTCCATACTGTGCGCTGACGGTTCAGAATCTAAATTCTGATGGTCGAACATTGAGGGCAGAACACCAGTGGTGGTGAACAGGTTCTGGTTGGGGGATGAATCTGCCCTCGAGGAGCCAATAGGACTGGTCACCACCATGTCCGAACCGCCGTTGGTGTGGCCTAACTCGGCGCCGGTCTCGTCGCAGTTTTGCTCGAACTTGATGTTGTATCGCGTGGACAGGAAGGACGCCTTGCCCTGAAGGGCGCTGCGCAGAAGTGAATTGTGGTAATTTTCATCGGACTCGTTCAGCAGCGGATCCGAGGAGGAAGTGGTGGTGGTGGTAGTTGAGGCGGTGCTGGTAGTGCAGCTGGGTGTTGTCGTCGCCGAAGACTCGTCTGAGTAGTTGAAGGTGGTGGCTGCCGAGGGCGAGTTGACCAGGTCCATCGAGTCTGGGCGGAAGCCGTTGGTCGGCGCCATGATGCTCAGCAGACTTTCGATTTCCTGTTGAGGAAGAGGGTCTTCGACAGGTTTAGGCGCGAACCAGTTCTGGTTGTTGCTTTCGCCGTTGAGCACGGTCAGCGTGTAAATGGCGCCGTCGGTGTTTCTCTGGGCGGCGGCTGGTGTTGACCCCACGGGTTCGGTGGTGACCACCGCGTGACCCCAGAGTTTGTTCCAGTCCTCGCAGCCGAAGATGGCCGTCTCCAGCTTGACGGTGTCCGGCTTGAGGTCACCATTGGTCTGCTGGGTGCCGTTGTTCCACAGCAGGTGCTCAAAGCCGTCGGTCGACGGCAGGTTGTTGTTGTTGGCCTCCTTCAGTTCGTGCAGACTGTCGACGAAACCGTTGCTGGGCGGCGAGCCCCTCATCAGTCGGTTGCTGTCCGACAGTTCCGGACACGCGACGAAGTCGAAGAAGTCGGCTTTGGACAAGTCCTCGTTGCGCAAGGCTTCGCCGATGTCCATTTTGGGTTGGTTGGTGCTGCTTCTGGTGTGTCTTTCAATGCTCAAATTTGGTCAGCATCGTCAACTGGCAATTAATTATGTTCGACGGGACGTGGCGATATTTCTTCTTTCATCAGCATCCGCGGCACTCCACCTCGACATCTGCAACAAGCGGAAAAGAACGCGTTAGAAATGATTATATTATTTTTTGTTCTCAAGCATCGGTGCGGCCGCCTCGCCAACTTTCTGCACGATTAATTTTTTCCCCGCTGCTCTCTCGCGACTGATAATGAGCAGGAGAGATGCCGGCCGAGTGTAATTTTGAAAAATGTTTAATACACATTTCATCTTTCCCAGTTCGTTCGTACTGCATGAATGCTTCGGCACAATAATGTATCGCGGCGAGATAAAATTTATTATTTCTGCGCTGGACCGTTTAATCAGAGAGCGCGCGAGAGAGAAATGTAGGTTAAATCTTTATCTCCATCTGGAGAAATGTGTCTTAAAATTCAGCGACGGCGTTTGTTATTCCGACTTGACAGCTAACACGGTGTGTATTTTCGTCGTGTCCGTTCGAGAAAATATGAAGTGCTTCACCTCACAAAAGTAATATTATCATTCCTGCTTAAAAAGAAGACGAAAAAATAATCTTGGCCCATATGTAAAACGTTTTCTCTTCTCTTTCGGCTTAAATCAATGATCAGACCGGTGTAATTACAAGAGTACCTGCTTGTATTATTCTCTCTCCTGTCCAGTTTGGCTGGTTTTGTGCAAAATAATGCGCCGTGGCCAATTAAAGTCTCCCTTGAAATACGCCAGATGACAGGGATTTGCAAGCGGAATAAAAAAAAGTTAAAAAAAAGTACTCGCTTCACTTGCTCCTCTCGTTGAAGCAAAAATATAAAATAAATTCTGGTTTTCTGGCAAACCTGAAAAGGCACTTAGGCGGCAGCATCTCGGGCTGGCGAGATGGTGACCTTGATCCAGTTCAGAATTATTTTGTTGCACTGACGGCGGTGGCAGGTACATACCAAAATTAATGACATCCAGTCTGCCATATTAATACCCTTCAGTTTTTCTATAAAGTGAGCTATTTATCACCGAGAGCCGGGCACGCAGATTTATTTCGGAGGCTTGCCTGAACCGTTTTAGAGACGACGGTGCTTGCGATTGTGCAAAAAAAAAATCCGCCTGCGATTCGTCACAGGAGGATGGTTATTAATGATGCGTGATGAGATAAGTACCATGTCGTCATATTATTTCAAGCCAACCTGAATTTTCTTATTAAAAAGTCGTAACTTCATAATCTAATTATTTTCTTACGGTTTTTAAATTTTCATACTCGCAATTGAGACTTTTTTAATCTATTTAATATTCCCCATATAAATTTTTAATTAAATACGAGTGAATTATTGAAAAAATTTTGGCAGCTCCAATTTTTTAAATGAACCTCTGCACCTGCCGAGAAACTTCATCAGGGCCCATCTCAAATTAAACAACCGTCATTAATTTCTTCTTCTCACTTACTCGAGATTCCTTATCGCATTTGGCCAGATTGCAGTTTCGTTGAGTACCTCATGCCGAGAGCTAATTTCTATTCGCACCTTTAATGAGCTCATTCTCAGAACCTAGGCCGGCTTAAAAGGAAAGACGCGGCTCAATTATATGCTCACTCGTATAAGGTGAACCAGTTTTGGTCTAAAAATAAATAGTCGCGTAACAATGAAATGTGTCTGCTAGGAATAGCACAGCTGGTCGTTTGCGCTCCTGCCCGCGCACAGCTGGAGAAATTCGCGTCTCGCTCATTCTGCATATCATCAAGCATCTCTTTTTTTTATTATTCCTCCCGCCGCGCGCCGACCGCAAGCCATTACACACGTTTTAGACTGCTCTAATTATCGCCGCTTTGTGTTCGAAAAAAGATTTGTTTTTCGCACCGTGGCACAAAAGGATGCAGCTAGGAATGCAACGGTCCGAATGAGCCGAAGTCTCACTCGACGGAGCAGCGCAAAATAGTCGCGAGAGTTTCGCAACTTTATTCTGTGAGCCAAGACGCGATTTGGAGCATTTCGCTGTTTTGTCTCTCTCGAGCGGATTAGCTCCGGTCGCGGCGGCCACTGCGGTAATTAAAGTGCATGATTTACCGGTGGCTGCTCTTCTTGACATCCCACAGCGCCTCGCGCACTCAATCACCGCTTGGCACACATTTCGCCAGGGGATTTGCACGCTGACCGGTGCAAACGCGATGCCCTTTTAATTGAAATTCCAGCACACCGCCGTTACAGATGGATATTCAAGCGCGCCGCCGCAAAGCGGAGATAATTTCATGTTTCAATTACCAGTGTACAAATCACGTCTGCGAAGTTCAACTTGCTTATTATACCCCCTTGATTGCTCCAGCATGAAAATGACGAAATGATTGAATGAAATAAGGTTATTATTTAATTTCTGATTGTAGAAAGATAATATTGTTGAAATAAATTATAAAAAAGATTTATCTAATTCTATTATAAATTTCAATATTTATCAAAATATTATTCATGGTGCTTGTTTTTCAATAACAATTAAATGATAAAAAAAAATGCAAGACAATACAATTCATTTGAATAATGAAAACTTTTTAAATTTAAAAATAAATAATTAAATGGATAAAAATTAATATTTTTGCATGCCTATTATTTAAATTTTATTTAAACATAATAAATAAGTTTGCTTAAAAAATACTTTAAAATTACCAAGAGTGCTAGCATTTTTTTTTCTTAGCAAAAGATGGCAAAAGAGTGTAACATATTTGCCTTAAAATGTAGAAAAACCATTAATTTGAGTAAAAAACGTACATAAAGGCCATTTTGATGATTAATCTTCCTTCACACAATTCATGGTTTTTTCGCCCGTAATCACTTTTGACGGGTCTGTTAAGAATTTTTCCTCGCAAAAAATTTTATTCAATAGTGAAAAGCACATAAAAACCTAAATCGAGTGAGCTGCGTGTGCACGGATTGATGCACATGGTAATTGAACATTGAAAAATATTTCAACAGCAAGCTACAATATTGTTAAGTGTGTGCGCAACTGAATAAATTGCGGCATCGACCCAACAAAGGCAATCTCGGCGCTTGATTGCAGCAGCCAGTGCAGTTTGGTTTTTGTAATTCCAGGTGTAGCAGAAAATTGGAAGTTGACCTTGGCGCTTGAAATATGAATTTATTTCAATTCGATTCAATCATAACTTTGTGCCATTGCAATATAAATATAAGTGGTGTCAGCAGTTGCATAGGTGAAATTGATACTTTCTGCAATTTTCTTTAAATTAAGGCGGAAATATTTTAATCCCGTATCTCCGCAAGAGTTTAATTTATTTCCGTTGTCCTAGAACTAATGCAAATTTTAAAATTTAACGATCTCATTACTGAAGCCACAAATTAGCGTAAAAATTAAAAACGCAATTATAATAAAAGTTATCTTGATTTTGTTTAATTAAGGGAGCAGTGGTTTCCTCTTCTCACATCAGAATAAAAGTGCGCGTGTAAAAATTCCTGAGCACATTAGATCCAGTTGGGCGAAACTGGATACACTCCTGCTCTCAAGTATAGAAATTCGCGGTGTTTGCGTATAATTTTTCACGCCTGTCGTCCTCCCACATCATCATTTACCAAACAAAATGTGCGTAGATTAGATCGCTGATGAAATTTCGCTCCAATTACAAACAGCGCCTCAAAAGAGAGAAGATTCCTTTTTACCATTTGCGGCTGTTTTGAATATTATGGTTTATCCGTGCATAGAGAACTTAAATCGCCGCGATCTCTCTATGCTCTTTTATTTTATCTCTCGCCAAGCGTGAATGACGAAGTGGAAAAAAATCAGCGTGCGCACATTAAAATAAATTACAGACAAGAGAACAACTGCTGCTATAATCGCGATCTGGAATCGGCATAAACTGGAAACTTTATTGTGCGTGAAGATACGAACCGCGATACACGCATCGGGAGTGCATTTTTTAAGTTCTCACATACGAAAAGAAAAAAAAATGGCTCAATTTTCGCCGCGCGTTAAAATCTCCCGGCTATAACCTACATTAGGACGCAAGTAAAATCAACAAGAGGCGAACGATGCGAATTAAATTATTGCCGCACACTCGCCCGTCTCAGTTTACGACATTTTCACTTAAAAACTGGTTCCTAGGGTCGATAGGGTCGCTCATAATTCAGGCAGGCGCAAAATGAGAAAATTTCCAAATAGTGTTGAGAGTGCCGGACTGCACGGACCGGAGATTGTTATCAACAGGTGTGTGTTTGTGTGCACACGCGGTAAGGAGCTTGATTTTTTCGCTTCATTAGTGCAGCATTATTTATTTTGCGAGCTGCGAATCACGCCTAAGTGCGCGGTAATTGCCCCTTGCTGTGCGGACCAGCGGCAACGAGGAAAGCGCGTTGGGAACTGCACGATTTTTGGCAAGACTTGGCTCAGCGGTTGTTAAATCGGGAATGCATTTATTTAATTAAGTGCAACACTTTTCATTTTAATGATTATTTACCAGCACGAAAATTTAAACAATTCCTAAATTGGTATCAACGCCCTTGTCTTAATTTAAGAAAAAATCCAAAGTGCAAAAGTAAAATTTCCAAACACATTTAAAAAAAATAAATTATTAAGTCATTGTGAAAGTAAATTTATTAATATTAAATTTAAAAAAAAACTCGCTTCCTTTTATATAAATTAAAATATTGAATAAATAGTTGCATGATTGACTTTAAACTAAAAAAAAAATCAATAAAATAAAAAAATTTTGGGCAATTTTAATACTTTTAATTTACAAAATGGGCATAAAAGTGTATAAATATTTTTTTAAATTGTTTATAAAAATTTTTTTTTGCATAAATTGAATATAAATTAAAACTTCGGATTTCGTCAAATGAAAATAACTTCGCCAAAGTAATGATATAATTATATTTCAAAAGAAAATAAAAAAAGTACTTTTTGATCTTTTATGCTGCAATTTTGAGAAACTCTATAAATCACAGTCGCAATTACACCGCAAAGCTTTTCGCCTTTTCAGGCTTCTCTCTCAAACTCAGAGTAGCAATTTTGGTGCAATTTCGCCACGGTCATTTTACATCGCACATACGTACGTGTACATGCACGCCTGCGAGTGCGATTTCGGC